ACCTCAGTCACACCTCACAGTCCCACCTCACAGTCCACACCTCACAGTCATACTTCACAGTCCATGCCTCACAGTCATGCCTCATGGCTGACACCTCACGACCCACTCCCCAACGTCACATACCTCACAGTCCATACCTCAGTCCACACCACACAGTCCACACCTCACAGTCACACATCATAGTCCACACATCACAGTTCACACCACACAGTCCACACCTCACAGTCCACACCTCAAAGTCACACATCATAGTCCACACCTCACAGTCCACACCCCACAGTCCACACCTCACCGTCCCACATCACGGTCCACATTTCACTGTCCATGACTGATAGTCATGCCTCATGGTCAGACCTCACATCCACACCTCGCGGTCACACTTATTGGGTCACACTTCCTGATCCACACCTCATACCTGCTAGAGCAGGAAAGACCTCAGTTTTCAGAGGAACGTTTATGGAAGTTTCAAGTCAGCAGGGATGCTGGATGCCATCCACCAAGACTCATGAGCAGCTACTCCTTGTGCCCCCTGGTGCACCCCAGGCCAGCCCCGCCCTCTCTGTGCCTCAGCCTCCTCCCCAGGGCCCCGCCAGGCCTCCGGTGGCACCTGTGGCTCTCCTGCAGCATGTGCGTGAGCTCCTGGATCTTGTCATAGTGCTCCAGGTGCTGCTTCAGCTCCACAATCTCACCACACAGCCTCGTCACACTTGTCTGAAGTCCTGAAAGAGAAAGAAAAGAAAGTGCCACTTTTTAGTAAAACTCAACCATACATTTTGAAAATGAAAACAATTTTAGATTTACACTGGATCTTGGTTACCAGAAGAAGAATATAGCGGGCAAAGATCAGTTTTAATGGGACTCAAAGACAGGGTGGGCATGAATGCCACGGCCCCACCTGTGCTGTTTCTACCCCCACCTTCCCAGGGCTGAAGCTGTGTGGTCTGCCCTCCACAGCCCCCCACGGAGCCACACCCGTGTGAGAGCAGGGGGAGGTGGCACCGGCTGGAGGCCCCACCACTGGGCCTGTCTGCTGGCTTCTCCTCCACCAGGAAGCATGCTGTGCCCCTCACGGGAGAGCCCTTGGGTTTCAGGAAAAGCACCAAGCGGCCTACAGTTGCCACAGGTCTCCCCAGCGCCCTCTGCCTCTGCACCCATCAGTGGCGAAACATGTGGCTGGTTTCCATCTACAAACCCCTATCTGTTTCTGGATCAACGCAAGAGGAAGAGAGAGATATTCTTTAGTGGCTTCCCAAATCCACACATGGGATACAAATAAACACACATACAGACCCACACCTACAGAACCACATGGTGACCAAGGCAGTGAGAAAGCCGGGGTGGGAGGAAGGTGGCAGGCAAGGGTGACGGTGACACCTACGGCAGGCTCTCCTCACCCACAAGGCAGTGGCGCTGCAGGAGCAGCCACAGTGTTAAGGCCATGCCACGCCATGCCACGTGGAGTCTGTGTCGACATATATGTTCACAGAGGGCGTGAGTGAAGGAAACGCAGGGCGGCACCATTTTGGGACATTCCACAGTCCCTGTGGTGGTCAAACCAAAAGTCCTTAAATGGCAAAAAAATCTAAGCTACAGCGCCCCAGAAACAACACGACAGCACCCCGGGGACAACACTACAGCATCCAGGGACAACACAACAGCATCCCAGAGACAACATGACAGCACCCCAGAAACAACACAACAGCACCCCAGAGACAACAGTACAGCACCTCAGGGATACCACGACAGCACCCCGGGGACACCATGACAGCACCCCAGAAACAACACAACAGCACCCCAGAAACAACAG